GATAGTTCCGAGGACGAGGGTACCGACTAGATATATTAGAATGCTAGCATTTTATTTTATAATTTTATCATATTTTCACAATGCTTTAGTTCATGTTTTTTTATATTCTTGGTTTACAAATTCGCACATCCTTATGCGTTTTGAATTGATTGGAAATATGATAATAGGAGTACTGTCGATATGATCCATCGACCTAACACACATTAACTAAGATTAAGAATAAATTTTAGGAACATATAATTGACATGGTTTTAGTAAAAAATACTTACATGTAGATACATCTATTTGAGCATTTGTCAAGAAAATTTAATGAAATTGTAAAACAGACTACAAGTTTTTTTTTAAATGGTAGCATTTATGCTAGTTTTGTATTACTTATAAAATCCAATTTTACAATTTGAAATCAACACAGTAAAAGCAAATATTGAAGGTGTTTAATGATTAAAATTTATAACAAATGGAGGCAATTACATTCTTGTTTAATATTCGACTTTTGCCGATGATGATGGTCGTCATTAGTGTAAAAACATAAACGTAAAAATAAATTCACAGAAACAAAAATAAAAAAGAAATAAAACTAAAGCAATTGTTTTTCTCCAAAACCATGTTGAGCACTGGTTAATAGATGAACCACCGCTTCAGAATGAGCAGGTGCACGTGTTTTTGCTCTCAATTAAGACATCCTCTAGAAGAATACTGCAACCTCTTGTTGGGATCTACACATTTTGCTGCTGAACGAGCTAACGATAGGCAAAACAAAAATATACAAATACCTTCATACGCATTTTGAAGTGAAAATAGAAATTAATATTTATATTACGATAAGCAGTGAGGGTTTGGATGCGGTACTCGGAAGAAACCTGGAAAAAATTCAAGCTGTTACAAATTCTGTAAAAAAGGAAGGATTACTGTGATATACTGTGAATGGAAATGAAGCATTAAATTAAGTTAACGATGTGCTAACAGTCTGCCGCTTGACGAATTCTATTGTAAATACATATTAATCATTCGACTTATTCTTTATCTGGGTCTTCTTCGCTCGTTTCAGTTTCCTTTTCGTCATCAAGGGTAGATTCCGATTTCTTTTCTGCGGTTTTATCAGCTTCCATTGTGTCTGTTGTTTCAACTTCCTTTTCATCTTCTTTCGCTAGATCTAAATTTTCTGCTTTCTTATCTTTTTCGTTTTCACTTTTACTATCTTCATCTTCTCCACTCTCATTTTCATCTTCTTCAATATTATCTACATTCCCTATTTCTTCATGCTTTTTCCCTTTGTCTTCCACTTCGCAGTCTTCAACCGCTTTGGTTTCCTTTCCTCGATCTTCTGTAGCTTCCTTTAAATTTTCTTCGTTTGTATCCTTTTCATCTGTACTCGCATCGTTTTCCGCAACAGGGGCTTGCCTTTCTGTTCCATTGTTAACATGTTTCGAGTTCTCGCTGTTTTCTACTTTATTTGGCTCGTCTTTCACTTCTTCTTTATCTGTTTCAGTTTCATTGTTGTCTACTTCTGAAGTATTGGACTCATCTTCATCATTTTCTTCCTTATCGGCACTATTTCCCTCTTCAACCGCAATTTCTGCAGTTTTCGCATTTCCTTCCGTTTGGTTCTCTTCCGGATCATTTTCGCTCTTCGCCGCATCGCCTTTATCACTTTCTTTAGCGACTTTTTCTTCAGGCTTTTCATCAGATTTATCTGTTTAGTATTGCAGTATTGTAATGTGGAGGCAGGTTTTTAAATACCAATTCTGAATACCATTGTCTTTTACCTTTAATTTCTTCCGTTTCAGGTTTCACATCTTCACTTTCTGTTTCTTCATTTACATTTTCTTCTCCATCAGATTTCTTTTCTGTTTCTTCCGTCTAACTTTTAATGAATTTGTTACATGGCCAGGTTTAATGTGGAGGTAGAGGTAGGTAAAAATTGCAATGAAAGGAAAGATATGTACAAATTTAGTAACGAAAAATGTGGCAATGAATGTTCAGCGGGCCCTTTCCAAAGTATTGCGGTATCAATTCTTTAAGAAATGCTCTTGCACTTACAGTTACTCACAGAAGTATTCGTTGTTTAGTTTTTTCACGGTATTCAAAATGTCTTCCATTGCAAATATTTTCCTTTATTTTTATTTAAATTGCTGCCATTCTATAACAAAAACCATATAAATCAAATTGCAAGCTTTCTGCAAAAGTCGCAAAAATTCAGCGAGTCAGATTTTTAGAATTTTTTAAGTTTGCAGTTTTGTAGTCTATCAAATTTTAAATTAATAAAGGTTAAGTTTTAAGTGCCTAGGCATTATCGTTGGTTTTTTTTTCGCTGACAGTGTCCCCCGTTTTCTTCCATATAAAAATATTTTTTTTTATGCTTTGCATAGTAAGCAGTAAGTCCTAGCCACTCAAAAATTGCACTTTATTATGCTAAAATTTAATGAGCTACAAAATTGCATACTCCAAAATTCCGATTAAAATGTCTGAAATTTCGATGGCCATTTTTTGAAACTCGCTGCATTTTTGCAAATTTTGTAGTAAGCTTGCTACATTGATTTATACGGTTTTTGTTATGAATGAATGCTTCTATGAGTAACTGTATATATGTAAACAGACAAAGAAAATTTGTTATGGCCCGGGTACGAGACAATGTTTACCAGGCTATTTTTTTGGGGGTTATTGAAACTGAAATTATTGTCCATTTCGTGACGTCCAAGGCGAATTAATATAAGGTGATAGCAGGAGTATAAAAACAAAAATTTACATGTATTTTGTTTTTGCTTTGGCGGCATAAACTGAAGTTTGCATACAACGCTTTAAAAATTAGAAAATAATATTTCTCAGTCCCATAGAATTTGTCATGATAAAAATATAGTAAGGTAGAATCGCTGAGAGTCACTTTTAAAATTCTTGACGTTTCCAAACAATTTAATTTTTAAATTTACTCACAAACTCACACACACATTTTCATTTTTAATCTCAAGCAACAACAATTTCGAAAAATTTCAATTTTTTATTTTCACTTTTATATGATTTTAAAATGTTGGCAAACTTCAAAAAAAAATCAGGGCCGACGAATTGAGAGAACGGTTTTACCTTACTATGTTTTTATCATGGAATTTGTTTTGATAACTTTTGGTTTTGAAATATTAGCCAAAGTCATTATAAACCATTTATGAGATTGAAAACGAAGAACGTAGTGCGCATGCAATACAAAGCATTATATTTAATTGACAATAGTCAAATTACATAACATAGACCTAAAATTTATACAGAAAAAGTACAAATTTGAGATCGAGTTTAAGCGGCCGTTATTCATATATCCACATTCATACATATATTACCCTTCATATCAACTCAGGTCTACTATATGCGCCCCACACTTTTCATTTTCAATATCATAAACGGTTTATAATGACTTTTGCTAAAAATTCAAAATCAAAAGTTATCAAAACAAAATCTATCATTATTTTCTATTTTTTAGTCCATTTATAAAAGCGTTGTATACTAAAAAGTTTTATTTTATTTTATTTATTTTCTACTTTTTAGTCTTGTCTGTATAAAATTTTGCAATAGATATTAAAATAATCCAACTTGCAGCGAAAAGAGAACAGAAGACTATGCAAACAACATGTTGTTTGCTCACGTTTAGTATAAACATACATA